CGTCTTCCTTGTGAATTCGAACAATGCATGGCAATCAATGGGAAGCACATACAAATCCGTTTACAACAAGTTTTTTTTTTAATTTATCACAATAACACGTCTTCATCGCATATTCAAAAAAGAGATTAAAATGTATCGCTGGTTACGGTGCCATATATCACCCAATCGAAATGCGACGATGACATGGAAATGTGGAGATTCGTGTGTGGTATTTATCTCGTTTTTTCTCATTCAGTATGGAATTGGATTTAGCGAAGAGTGTCTTTGGGCATAGCGCGAGCTACAATTGATAAGCGTTAAATCGGCCGAGAGACGGCAATGTGAATGAAACCGCCGCGAACAATGTGTGCACTTCAGCGGGTGAGTTTTGGCTGATGCGCACCGTAGATGCAAATCGATTGCATGAAAATGATTGAGTGATAAAAATGCATCTTTTCCCAACAGAACACACATACACACACACAAATGGCATTTGTCATTCAATGTGTGTGCATTTAATACGAGAGATCACGACTAGAAAATATTTGCCGTGAATTGTTTGGCTGGCATCTGAATAAATGGTCTCAAGCTTGTAAGCAAAGCCACGTTGCTTGCGCATGCGCATTCACCTAAGAGCCAAATGGCAGCATAACATTTAACTTCATGGAGTTTGTTTGATATTTTCTTTCCATTCACGCGCATCTCGCGCGTGCGTGCGAGCGAGCGAGAGAGTGAGCTGATTCAATGCACTGGCGTTCCAATGATGTAATTGAATAGCTTTGAATATGCGATTTGGAAAGAGTTTAACCAGCATCGCACTCAGCCCACGATTCATGGTTATGCCATGACGTGAGCGAGCAAAAGAAAGAAACCGATAAATAAAAGCAACAACAACAAATTAATCCATTGAGGAATTCAGGATTGTGTGCAGCAACTTTCATGGACAAACACACACGACGATGCAATATACGCCGAAAATACCAATCACTACGGATAAAAAATAGAGAAGAATGGTTATCATCGTGCGCGACTTTACAAATCAATCATGAAAATTATAATCGAAAGACGTCTCCGTTTGGTTTTGAGACGGGCGGGTGTCAGTGAACGTTCTCCAATCGGCCATCACCATACGCAATCGTTTTGTTGTGAACGCCGAAAGAAAGTATCATATGAAAATGAGTTTGATCAAGTTCCATTCTGGCTCGTCTTTCTTCATTGAAACATAATTGAGAGAGGATTTGTGCTAGGTCTTCGAATAAGCTTGTCTTTAGTTGAAAGAAAAAAATATGGGGAAAATACAACGATGACATCATAATCAACAAACAAACGAGTATTTATGATTAATCACTATTTACTTTACATGAATTTGTGTAATCGCATAGCTGTGGAACGCACATTGCAGCAGTGTCATTGCTACCTGCACACATAGCATCAACTCATCGACTTGATGTGCTTGAGATATGCCAAGCATACGGTTATACTTTCATTGACGTAAATGTCGCACGAACGAACGAACATCGTTTGACGGAGGTCTTCGAAACTTAAACTGACACTGCGCCCAACACCGCATTTTCATTAAACAAATAGAAAGTCTTTCTAATCCTCAAAATGAATTCTTTTCCCATTTTCGACATAAAATCCACGCAGTGAAACATGTATAATCAAATTTTGATGACGTCTGATTATCTCTAAGCAGCGAAAAAATCATTTCATTTCAACTTTTAGTTAACCAATTTATTTGATGATGGTTTCATGTGATCTCATCCAATCTCACTGTGTAATTAAATTTCTTTCAGAAATCTTTTAACAAGAACCGAAATTAAAATACTAAAATGATACTTGAAATGGTGTTCACTTTAATTTTAAAATGGAAAAAAAGGAAAAAAGGAACAGCATTGAAACAAGTCAACAACAGCATGTTGAGTCAATATTGTATGTGACCCTCTTTGTAAATTATCGTTTCGGTTAAATGAGATACCATACAAAAAATTGCTTATTTTATAAAGTCGATAATGTTTTTTTCTTCTCTTCGCTCAAGTATTTTTGGTGTCATTTAAGAAAACACCATACGCCGACCCACAAAAAAAACAATTCAATAAAATGATCGTAAATTTTACGTCTTAATTACAGCATGAGGCTGTTGTGGGTTTACTTTTGCATATTTGTATTCGGATAAATTGAGTTGACACGTCCGTTTTTTTTCCTCAATTAGAATAAACCGAGCCGACGGTGACCTTGAAAACGTAGTGAATAAATGCACTATAGGTGCATCGTTATCATTTATAAAATTGTCCACAAACACAATCGGCGAACAAGAATAAACATCGTTAAAATGTTCCAATAAAATCGAAATTGCACGCATTGCTGTTTCCAGTATGCGCCGACCGCAGTCCGATTGGTCTGTTCATTTGTTCCGTATTTCAAGGTTGTACACACGACGGAATGTGTTTTATTTCCAGCTGATGTCGACTGGGCTCGCAATTTTTCAGCAAAGATTATTATTGTCATTATCGTGATTGCATACAAAGCGACCGAAATAGTGGGAGAGACTACTTGAAATTGCATTTTCCTGCATATTTATTGCTAAACAGTTTATTCAAATGCACAGAAAAACCATTTAATTTTGTGAAATAACAACCTTTTAAACTGTAATTTGGTCTGCAGATGATCATCCGATTTTTTTTTCTCGCTTATTCCTCTTCTACACTGCGAAATTGAGTCAAGAAATTATCGTTTCTTCCTTCTACTTCTTTTGAGACTTGGTTTTTTCTCTAGCTGTTGTCTTTTTCGTTGCGATGATACAATAGCAAGATATCCATATGAATAGACACGGTGATCTATCACACATTAATGATAGAGTTGGTATTCATTGTTCCGTTACTATGTTCATAAGCATACTCTGGGCGCTTACAATGTAACTCAGTTTTTTATACTCACTTCTATCTCGTGTGCCTCGGAAAATGTCTACGTGTGTATGTGTTTGATTCTGGTCGTGTGGTCTTTGTGCGCGCGAGGTATTTGTACCATCGAGTGGCATTTGATATTTGAGCGAGCGAAGGAAAAACAGCAACAATAAGCAGAAGAAGAGCAATAAAAACTCTACTATGCAGGAAACCGTAGGCATTTTTCACCTAAAATGGAAATACTCATAGCGATAGTAGAGCTGAGTGAATAAATTGACTATTTTGCATTTTGATCTGGTTTTTTTTATTACGGCCGCATCTTCCGAAATCAAACACCAATAAAATGCGGATTGTAAAAGACTTTTTTTATGGCTGTCATCACATTTTTGATGACTTTTTGATTGCTGCCTTTTATAGTTCGATTGATTAAATGAAATGAAATCGCGTGCAGTCGGAAATTACACACATGAATCCATCACTAATCCACCTCACTATTTCATACCAACCTAATTCATCTCTCTCTCTCTCTCTCTCTCTCTCTCTCTCTCTCTAACTCTCTTTCTCATCAAGAAGCCTAGACATTTTAAGAAAATTGTACAGGAAAAAAGTGTTCATTTCTCAAAGTTGAAGGAATATTGCATGTCTTTGCCACTCTCAAGTGCAGTTCGGTGTGTGTGCATGCTCGCTGACTTTTTTCCTCAGTTGTTTGAAAAGTTCATTCGCATTTTATATTATAAAATCGATAGACATGCACCGTAAGCAGCAGCAGCAGCAGCAGCAACAGCATCATCCCAGGTGCATTGTTCGTGTAAATATGCTGTAAACAGAAAATGCATTGCACTTTTGAGTGGTAGAACTTGTACCCTGCTAGAATACTTATGTTGTAAAACAGTTTTATGTTGATGTTGAACAGTTGTAACGAGAAGAATGTGTGCTCCATCACGTTAACGTTGCGATGAAGATGCGGCGAAGTTTATACGACAATCGAGACACAAGTTGGTTGAAAGTCTTCTATGCTAATAATAAGTACGACGAGTGGTGTGAGAATAGCATCTTTTGCAAAACCAAAAAAGAAAAACAGAAACTTCGACTTTTTCCAATGGTTTCGGGAAGTGCAATATTCCGCTAGTTTATAATTGCAAAGTCATCGCATTGTACACAGATTCGAACAGCGCAAAAAAATCATTCAATCCGATATCGAACATATCATTTTGCATTTTGAACGCAGTTTAATTTCATCTTACGTTCGTCGTACACGGATGGTGTGTTCCCTGATATTTCGTTCGTGCACCAATTTCACTTTGTATGGATCGTGATTTTATTGCCAGAGGAAAATTTCACTTGTTTCTTATCCGTCGATACCGAAGTGTGTGTCGTATCTGTTTGGCAATGTCGAGAAAGAAATAAAGAAAGAAGGCAAAATAAAATGTATCAAGTAACTTGCTATTCGGATGGAATTCAAGAAAGCGACATGAATGTCATTGTTTCCGTTTCTTGGACGTGCTCGCAATGGGAAGACAACAGCGATCGAATGAACGAACAAACGAGAAACGAGGCATTTTTTATAATCACCTGACAACAACACATTAAAGGGGAAAAAAATACTGTGCTGTTTTTATTCCATCTTTCTTTCTTGTTTGACTCTGCCGGGCAATGCGAAAGTGCGTATGAACTCATAATCGAAGCGGTTCACCCATTTCTTGTCGTTTTTTTTTTTCTTGCTGCGTTTGCTGTCGAACAGCATATTTATGGTTTCATTACATTGTGGCAGCGAGAAAATTCTTCGGAACCGAACGGTTCGGCCAATTTAGCACCAGAGATTATCAAAATGACCAAGTGAAATGGTTATTTTCACACTATCGGACGTGCACACATTTGTTGCATGTAATATGAGGCGGAAACAATGCACTTTCGAGAAAATCTCTGATTTTAGCTAATTATTGCACCGCTTCATATTTTTAATCACACAAAGGAAAGTCTTGGGAAAAGATTGTTGTTCGATACTCGACTTTTTTTGTATCGACACATATTTGTATGAAAAAAAAACTCAGGAAAAAAGTATTAAGTGCTCATTTCCCACTCAGCTTATTGAATTTCTTCTTTTTTTTCCATTCATAGGGTCTCCCAAGTTGCCCCGTCAGTTTAGAAGCACTCCGATCACATTTACCGTATTTGGGCTATTGCTTAAGCTTCTCGGACGAAAAATCGGACGCGCAACGCACTGATGACGACAATAACACCAACAACAACAATATAATCAATGGTGATTTATATGGCAATCAAAAGGATCAATTTGCACCAAATTTAACGCCATTACATCGTTTCTACCGAGAACAACAGCAACGTAAAAAGATGCCTGGTTTTAGAGGTCGTCGCGGCCTGTGCGGCTGCCTTCAGGTGAGATACAAATGATTTTTCTTTGAAAAATAGAGTCAATTGCAAAGGTTTGATTGAGGTGGATTTTTATCGGAAATAAGACAACACAATTCAGTTAATCAACGAATATCAAGTTCAATGACAAAGTTAGAGTGAATGAATGTTGTTCTCCTTCGAATCAAATAGTCTTCGACTCCAAACTGTATTAATATTGATCAGTAATATCCGTTTGTGGTATCGATCGAAACTCATATACCGTTGTTTCGTGCATGATTCAAATCGAGTGTAGCCATTTGAATTGAGCACAAGTGAAAAATAATCGAGATGTCGGAAGAGCGATATTATTGTGGCTAAATTCAATTTATCATCGTTCGGATATTGGAACAAATATGTCAGCATCAACAGCACCAATAACACGAACTGTGCATTTTACCACGAAATTGTATGGCACGGAAATTTATGCGTGTCTGAAATAGTTTGATCGTTTGTCGATTGCAAAATAAAATGAAATGGTTCGGGCCCTCGAAGCGAGAAAAAATGCTCTGCTACAATTTCAATACATCTCTCGATCGATACATAAATAAAACGGAATACAACAACAACACAACAACGAAAAAGTCTATATATAAAATAATAATTGCAATTCATGCTGCGTATTAATTGCAATGGAACTGGTTGTTTTTGTTTGTCGCTGTATGCCATGCGAGTGAAAGTAATTTCGTATTATTTTTCGCCCAGTCCATCGTGCTTTCAAAACCAGATTTTGTGTTTGGATGCTTGATGAGTTCTGGCCAAACCGAGTGTGTGTGTGTGTGTCTGAATGTACCTTTTCTCCTTGACAACATACACTCAAACACGCATACTCGGCGTATCACGTGGCGACGATGCGACACATAAATCGAGAGCACACTACAATCCAGACACGCAAACTCTCTGTCAAACAAATTATACAGAAATTAATAAAGATCATTTTTCTTTGGTGCATTTCGAAAAATGATCGGTTTTTTTCCTTCTTCTTTGGCTCTACCAATCGATCGCAATCACTTCGGTATGATCGAACAGGTTAATTGAAATGGACGAAGAGGAAAAGTAAAATGCAGGCACGAGACAGAAAATGGCTCGTTTGAAAAATTATTAACTATAAATACGTCGAACAAATGTCAGCAATTTTTCAGATTTTGTAACAGCCCATCGTGTGTATATGTTCCGCCAATAGCCTCGAGACATTGTAAAACTGGGTAGTTGCATTGCATTCAAATCGATTTCAAAGTGGGCAGAAAAAAACACATTCAAATTACAGTGAACATAAAATTTTCAGCAGTTAGAATGGACGAAAAATAATTAAGGGCGAAGTGTGTAAGTGTGAAAAAAGGATTTCAATTTATGCTCTGAAGGTCGTTGTGTTGCTACTACCGCTACTGCTAGAAGTACGTACTTCTACGTACGGCATACGGCCACCGTGAATTGAATTATGGCCAAACGCTCATAAATGTGTTAGCCAATGACTTTTACTCGCATTTTTTTTATTATTGTTTACGGTGATTCAATTTTATTGGATTTTATGATGGTCAATAAAATGAAAACCGATTATGAATCCATAACTCCGGTAAAAGAATAGAATGGTCATATTTGGTGCGGGCTGATAACTGTCAAAATACCGTGAAACATGACATGAATATTTGGTTGCTTCCACATTTTCTCTTGTTTATTGGCCAACGGGTGAAATATGGTACTGTTTGAATCACTTTTACTATTCAATTTAGCCACTTTCTATTGCAACAAACAACAACAGCCCACCTACAAGCCACAACTTTTCCTTTCCGTTGCACCGCACAACAAAAATCGTTGTCATTTCAAATGGCGTCGGATGAAAGAAATCCAATAAAAAACCAAATAAAAAATGTCATATTTAATTGATGCCAAATGTAAATTCCAGAATTTTCACTTTAGTAAAGCGCACCGAGTAAGCAATTTTAATAAAATGTCTTTCAAATTTCCATCAAACCGAATGCAAAACGAGCCAATGATTAGAAAAAAAACCTTTTAATCGGAAAAGAAAACTGACTTTAATATGAGATTTAACGTGACACTTTGGAGTTTTAACGATCAATTCTGCGAATGTGTTCGATGGATCATAGTCGCAGGCTATAAATGCAATTGAATAAATGTAAAAAGTGTCAGGAAACAACAATAATAATACACGTTGCTTTTTAATACACACTTGTGCGCCAACTGAAGTGTCCATTCATTTTGCACACGTTGCTTATGCAGTGTGCCAACACCGGCCGGAGCCGACTCGCGGAACAAATGCACCGGTCTAAATGCACATATCTCCGATTTACGCATTGAAGAGATAGAGAAAAAAAGCGTGTTGTCTAAATGCCACGAAAAAAATGAGATCTGCACGTATGAAACATGAGGCGCCAATGAAATGATATGCATAACGAACACTTTGCGATTGCGTTGTTTTTTTCTGTTGCATTTGCAGCTCTCTCTCTCTCTCTCTCTCTCGGCGAATATTGAGTCAACAAACGTCTTTGCACTCTCACTGATTCACACACAAAACTAATAATAAACGGAATCGCTTTATCTGCGACTGCCTTTTTTCCGTTCATTTATCAATAACTTACAATGCCTACGCTCTCATGCAACAATTTCTTTCGACCAAAGTCGTGCATTTAATTTCCCGCATAGAGATGTTGAGCCGAAGAAGAAGAAGAAAAAATAAGCTAATAATAAAAACAACAACGACAGCTCGCGATCAGGCGCTCTAATCACAAAATCAGTGGTAAGCAAAACACACCGTACACGTACCAAAAGCAAATTACATGCAAAATGATAAACGGTAATTTTTCTTCATTTCGATTTCTATGGCATAGATGCAAGAAGAAAAAAAACTGCAGAAAGAAACGGGAATACGTAATTTTCAGTTATCGTGTGTATCGTCTATCATTTTGTGAAAACAAGAGTAAAATATCAATTTAATAATAATTTCTCTGTTGAACGGCGTGGCGCACACGGTGCGACTGCTTCGGACTAAGATCTGTGTATATATGGAAACATAATGGAATTCTCTGCGATTTGTCAATGGCTGGCTACTTTTACAAAATTGGCACATTGTAAGGTAAGCATAAGCATATGCATCGCAGTGATACACTACTTTTATGCGGTGCTGCTGTTGTTGCCACCACCGCCACCGCCGCGCCGCCTCCGCCACTTCTCGCGCTTGAAATTTATTGTCAAACTAACCAAATGCTTTATTCAATTTTCACTTTTCTCTTCTCAATTCTCTCTATCGTCCGAATCCATCGTCGTCCGTCGCCATGCCACGATGCCGATGAACGGGCATTTTATCAAAATTATACATTCCGATAAATGACTCAAGTGCAATTTCACTATGCCAAACATCTCATTAAAAAATAACTGGTTACTATCCGAACGAAAAATTATTCGAACACATTAATTGCAAACGAAGAGAAAATTGTGCCTGGCTGTGATTTTGTTTTCATTTCGGTCATAGCCAAAAAAAAACATTTAATTACACTTCAATGCCATATTGTTCGCTCACGAATTTTCACCAGTCCGTCAATCAGTTTGCCGATGTCAGTAATTACCCGTACGTGAAGTGAACCTGCTGAAATTGATACAAATCAGTTGTTATGTTTCTTTGTTGCTATATTTCCTCGTCTCAAGTCCACTATATCACACGCACACCGTTTGCGAGATTCAAACAGCCAAATTTGTGTTGGCCATTGAATGACGTCTCAATTGAATTTGCTATTTTGCCCAAATCTTTTCAAATCAAAATCAAAGTCCTCGAATTTCTAAAAACAAAATACGGTCGCATCATCTTTCTTGTAGTGAATCGACACAAATTTTTGTGTCGTGTGAATTACCGTAAATTGACCTCTAAATTTCTTTTAGATTTCTTGTGCTTACAATTTTTTTTCCGTTCTTAGAATGACAACGCTTTTGTTCGCAATGTTTTTTTCGCTTCATCCATTGATTCGTATCTGTTTCGCGAGCATGTTTCATGGATCGTAATAACATATTTCACGGATTAACGTCGTCTAAACCTTCGGCCAGCACTCGAACAAAAAGTGATCATAAAGAAACAGAACAAATTCGATGTTTCGGCAATTAGCGGCTTAAATCACAAGATATGGCAAATTACTGCGAAACCCAAAGACCCATAAAGAACACTTTCGAAACGCAACGCCACACAAACAGCAATCGCGGCTGCAAGACAAAAGCCGAAAATGCTGTTACAAAGTACAGTTACTAAATTCATTGAGTGATGTTATAATCATGACATAAAGTGCCTGAATTTTTTTTCTCCTTTTCTTCACTGTTTCCATGAGCTACGGAAGCCACCAAAAATGCCATGATACTACACAAAATACCGTAAAATATCACGCAAATCCATTTTAATATTTCGCACGTTGATGCCATTCAATTGCGTTGGTTTTTTGTTTTCTTTTGCGAATTCGCATTTTCGGAAGTCGATTGTTATTTTGGTTTTTTTTCCCTCTGTAGCTGCTATTCAAAGCGTCTCTTTAAATTTGTTTGATAATCATTCTTTTGATTCGTTTATTTTGGCAATCTGTCATAATATTGATTCAAGTGCGTAGTCTTTTTGTGTGTGCGACTTTCGATTTCCATTTGGACGAGCAATAAAACCTGAATCAAATCAAATCTTCAGTGTAATAAAGGAATAATGGGCTGGATATAAAAATAAATGAATTCATTTTTGGCAAATCATTTTCACTCGCACATGATCATCGAAATGAAAGATTGTGAAGGAAAAAAGCGACTTAAAAAAATTGTTTAATGTCTTAAAAGTAGAAATGAACTCATTTGGTGAAAGAAAACTTTTGTGTAGCCTTTCACATTTTTTTTTGTATACATACCGCTCAAGCTCGCCAGGCTGTTGATTCTCACCGAAAATTTGGAGACATCAAATGATGATGATTGAATGGAAAATCGAATTGAAACTATTTGTACGGAATTAATTTGACAAATTGCCGCAAAATTACTCGCCAACAATTTCTTTTGGTTATAGTATATGTCTAACGAAGATTTGACCATTCGTTGCCCAAATTGCGATTGTTTGAAAACAATGGAATCTGTAAGTTACCTGACAATGGAATCTGTATCTGTAATTAAAGAAATACTGCGTTATGATAATGACGTGTCATTCGCCACATTTGAATGGATCGCGGTGAGATTCTAATCGAGACAAAAGTCCGACAGGCAAAACCACACATTTGTAGAAAGTAAGCGTGATGGTATTATCTTAATAACAATTACCGGCTACTTGTCCATACAAAACAATACTATAAAAACATGTTTTGGCCGTAACATCAACAACAACATCGATCCAAATCGATCGAAACACGTTTTCGTTCACATCGCCAATTTAATTACACATGAGACAAATCAATCATTTAGCAAATTTAATTAATGATTTGCAAATAACAGTATTCAATAATCGTTTGTTGAACTCTTTAATTGCTCCGTTGGATGGGTCTCATCATTCAAGTGCATGCGCATTGCACACTATTCAAATACCAACGCAGATATCAGGTCTAGGGAAACATTGCATTTGTTTTAAATGCAATTGTTTACACTTTCTACGCGAGCATTTATGTTTTATTCAAAAAATTGATTAAATCCATTTAATTAAAAAAAAAACGAGAGCAAATTCCACCCGAAATTCTTCAAATTATTCCATTGCATTTAAAGTTAATTTGCGTACAATGATTGTACTACCATCGAATTGGGGGCGTGATGCAATGTATCGTTTTTTTCTTGTTTACAATTAATAATCTTTTTATTTTTGAAAAAATTACATTGAGGTTGACTCAAATGGAAAATATTTGATGAATGAAAAAAATGATTCACAATGTTATCGTAAAAGCGATTTTTGCACATTGTTTGCTTGGCCTCAGACTTCGGTGCACGTTCTGTGTTGATTTGATTCTCATTCATTCACATTTTATCAAAAATCACTAAAAAAAATCGATATCAAACGCCACGATTCGACGTACAGTTGGTTTTCAATTACTAAATTTAATTTATAAAACTTGTTAAAATATTTGTCATACATTTTTATCGAAGGTATGTGTGACGTAAACGAAAGACCGGAGAAAATGATTCAATTCGATATCCACGTGTAAAAGCAATTCAAAAATAGGCTCCTACGGCAGAAAGACGTCTCATTTCACAGAGATCTTTGTCGAAGCACAGTCTTGCTCGATACACGGTTAATCTAAACTGTGAGACAATTACGTGCAAGGTACAGTTACGTTGGTTGGGGCACGGTGTGCTTGATGAGCAACAATATATATGTGATAATGTAAGATGTACCGCGAAGAATATACACCGATTTGCATGTGACAACTATGCGGTTCAATATTTTTTTCCTGTTTATTAATTAGCCACCGCGGTGGCTAAAAGAGAAAACACACACACCATACTCAAATGGAATCGCTCAAAATTATCATCTGGTTGATAACTGTTTGTCGCCTGAACGAAAAATTATGCAAGCCATCTAATCAGTTGTTTTATTTCTTTCTTCTTCTTTTTTTTAAATTACAAATCGAAGCGAGTCATTTCGATGGATTATGAAATTACAAACATTCAAATGACTTATTATTGTTTTTGTTTTGCGTCATTTCAAGTGGAAATTAACCATTTTTCTTGTGCTCATTTACAGGATGATGAACCGCCGGAGATTGCTGTGGTTGGTGCATTCACATTGCAAACATTAACACCAACCCAACCGATGCCATCAATCGAAGAGCTCGATGCAAAATTTGCCGAACTCGTCGAAGAATTGGATTTGACCGCTCCAAACAAGGCGGCTATGCTTAGTTTGCCACCGCAGAAAAAGTGGCAAATTTACTGTTCACGAAAGAGTCCCATCGACAGCACGGACGGCACCGAAGTGTCACGAACCTCACCGCCCACCCCAGAGCACTATATCGAACGATTGAAAGATATTGCAAAGGTATGACCATTTGACCATCGACGAACTTTGGCGACCACTTTGGCGAACAATTTTTTAATCAATTTTTTTCCCTTCGTTTATTCGAAAACAGCAATTTCAATCACGCCCAGACGAATCACCGTGCCACGAATACAATTTCAAAATTGAATCACATACGGCATTTCTGGATGCACTAAAAACCGCATTGCGCACATCGGCCCATAGTTTTGTGCTACGTTTCGTCGAATTGAACGGTTTGTCCGCACTGTTGGACATTTTGCGTGTGCTTGACATTCGAGTTGCAAACAGTCCGATGCATAGCAGTTTGATCCAATGCTTAAAGGCATTGATGAATAATTCGGTGAGTTGCCATTGAAATTCAAATCCAAAATTTACTCGATGAATGTAGCTTGACCGATGTTTTGATTTTCCGCATCACAGACTGGCCGTGCACATGTGCTCGCCCATCCGACATCGATCAACATCATCGCACAATCGTTAGCAGCTGACAATATTAAAACGAAAATTGCCGCACTTGAAATATTGGGTGCTGTGTGCTTGGTGCCCGGCGGCCACAAGAAAGTCTTAATGGCAATGCTCCACTTTCAACAGTATGCAGCCGAAAGGACACGATTTCAAAGCATCATTAACGACTTAGATCGATCGACCGGCGCCTATCGTGACGATGTTAATCTCAAAACAGCAATCATGTCATTTATCAACGCCGTTTTGAATTATGGACCAGGACAAGAGAATTTAGAATTCCGCTTGCATTTGCGTTATGAATTTTTAATGTTGGGCCTACAGCCGGTTATCGATAAACTGCGACAGCATGAAAATGAAACTCTCGATCGGCATTTGGTATGTGTGACTTCACTATCTTCCCTTTTGGACCGAAAAAAAATGGATGATTTCACCTAATTGCTCGTTTTCTGTAGGATTTCTTCGAAATGGTACGAAATGAGGATGAAAAAGAGCTTGCACGTAAATTCAGCAACGAACATGTCGATACGAAAAGTGCAACGGCAATGTTCGATTTGTTGCGTCGCAAATTGAGTCATTCACCAGCTTATGGGCATTTGTTGTCGCTGCTTCAACACATGCTTTTGCTTCCATGTAAGTGTTGGATATTCATTTTGATTATGGATTTGAATTGCTTGACTCATTCTATGGTTACTTTTTTTCACAGTCACCGGATCCAATACACAGCACTGGTTAATATTCGATCGTGTGGTGCAACAAATCATTTTACAAAATAACGAACGACCCACAAGTGATATCATCGATCCAGACAATGAGAAAACGGGCGATAATGTGTCGATTGAAAAGAAAATCCAAGATCCCGATCACAGTGTCATCGAAATCGATGTGAAAAAAATAGTTCAATTGCTAGTCAAAGAGGAAGAATTGGTGGCGGCTCGCACCAAAGCCGACGAAATGGAAAAAGAGAATTTCGATATGCAATCAAAATTGGCCAAAAAAGAGCAAGAGCTTGACTTGCGCATGCAAGAAAAAGAAGATCTAGAGACTAGTCTGGCGCGGATGCGTGAACGTTTGGAAAAGGAGAGTGCGAACCATTCACAAACCGTACAACGGGCATTAAATGCCGAAATGAAAATCGAAGATTTACAACATAAATTCGCACAAGAACAACACGAACGCATGCGATTGGAGCGATTGGTGACTGAAGGCAACATACCGGACGATCAAAAGATTTCCGGCCTAATTGGCACCACAAATGGTTTGGCCACACCAGCAACACCCTCACCAAAATCATCGATCGCCAGCTCTGTTCCGCCACCACCACCTCCACCATTGGGTACGGGTCATGACTTCTTCTTTTGAATTGAAAGATTTTTAATGCAGTTTTTTTCTCACTAATTTCAGTCATGCCACCACCACCCCCACCGGTGCCAAAAGCTCCAGCCATGCCAGGTAAATTGAAAAGAGTAATTCAATCATCATTTTCTGTGTTACTTAATTGTCCTTTTTTCACTCTATTAGCTCCAGCTTTAACACGTACTGAATCAATAAAAAAGAATGTGCCACAACCGAGCAATCCACTGAAGAGCTTCAACTGGTCAAAACTGCCGGATGCAAAGGTTCAAGGTACTATTTGGAGCGAATTGGACGATTCCAAATTGTACACAAACATCGAACTCGAGAACATTGACAAACTGTTCTGTGCTTACCAAAAGAATGGAGTACCAGTAAGTGTTGCTCCAAGGCTTAAGCCTTGGAAAACTGTTTTTCTTTTTCTAACTGACGTTTTTATTTGCAGAATGATGGTTCAGTCGAGGATTTACGTTTGATGGGCAAAGGACGTGCCAAAATCTTGTCGGTTATTGATGGACGTCGTGCACAAAACTGCACAATTCTATTGAGCAAATTGAAAATGTCAGACGAAGAAATCTCGAAGTACGTGCCCATTTATAATTAGCCACAGAAAATGGAAGGGCGCGAAGTTCGAAGTTTTAATAATTTTTTTCCTTTTTTATTTGCATTTTAGAGCGATTTTGTCAATGGATACAAATGAACAGTTGCCAATTGATATGGTTGAACAACTGTTGAAATTCACACCATCGGCTGAGGAGCGCGCATTACTGGATGAACACTCGGAAGATATTGATTCATTGGCGCGTGCCGATCGATTCCTTTACGAAATCTCAAAGTAAGACCCGTCACGCTCACCTATTCAGTTTTCTTCAATTGAACCGAATTTATTGAACATTTTTAATAATAAACTCCCGATTCCTTTACAGAATCACTCATTACGAACAACGATTGCGCAGTCTTCATTACAAAAAGCGTTTCATGATTGCAGTAAATGATTTGAAGCCCCGAATCCAAAGTGTAATGGAAGCGAGCCGTGAAGTGGCACGTTCAAGACGTTTGCGTCGATTGCTCGAAGTGGTGTTGGCCCTTGGAAACTACATGAACCGTGGAGCTCGTGGAAATGCGTCTGGCTTCCGATTGGCTTCGCTCAATCGATTGGCCGACACAAAATCGAGTTCAGCCAAGGGAACCACATTGCTTCATTATTTGGTGGACCAAGTGGAAAGGAAATTCAAAGATTTGCTAAAATTAGACGAGGATATTCCACACGTCCGTCAGGCAGCTAAGGTGTCGCTAGCTGAAATGGACAAAGACATTTCACTGCTACGAAATGGTTTGGTCGATGTGGGCCGTGAGATTGAGTTCAATCGCAGTGCAGGAACACCGCCGTCAGGCGATCGTTTTTTGCCAGTTATGCGTGAATTCCATGCACAGGCATCGGTTCGTTTCGCTGAATTGGAGGATATGTTCCAAGATATGAAAACGCGCTTCGATCGCGCCGTGCGCTTGTTCGGTGAAGACGGTTCAGTCATTCAACCCGATGAATTCTTCGGCATTTTCGACTCATTCTTGACATCATTCATGGAAGCGCGTCATGATAACGAAAACTTCCGTAAGCGTCAAGAAGAGGAAGAGAAACGAGCTAAACAAGAGGCTGAGGTATGGGATTTTATTTCATTTCATCTAAAAATGATGACAACTAGTTTGTTCAATTAAAACATGTACTAAATGGAATTGGTTGCTTTTTTTTTCTTTTTCAGCTCAAGAAACGTACCATCGAACGCAAAAACAAGGCAGGTCTGCTGAGTTCTGTGGCAAAGAATTTAGGATTGAAAAAAGGCGATTCAAAAGCAGCTACCGACAACAAGGGTGAATTCGATGATCTGATATCGGCACTGCGTACGGGCGATGTGTTTGGCGAAGATATGGCGAAATTTAAACGATCGCGCAAAACACGGATGGGCAATTCCAAAGATGCCAGCGGCAGCAATACATCACCACCACGTCATTCGTCATCACATCGGGATAGTCGTGAAGAGAGCCGAGAACGTATCGTGAACAATATTAAACACAATTAAAACTCCGATGCTCGGCATTTTAAGCACTACTCCCAGCAATTGAGAAGTATCCAAACTCGACCAAGTTACCAAGCCAAAAGATAATGTGCAGTAGAAATGTCCGTCTGCAATAATCGCATTAAACAAATTGATAAATGAACGAAGGAAAACATTGTTACGGAATTTAAACGCATTGCATATTACACGTAATTTTCATAGATATTAAAACGAGTAAATGCACCAATGCAGAAATGACTGAATCTTATTGTAGATTTCGAACGAAACGCTATTGAATCGTAGTCCATTTAAAAAAAGAAAAATTAATCAAAATTTGTGGGCGACAAACAAAAATGTGAGAAACAAATGTGTTAGACAAGAAAAAAGAAGCGTCTTCATTTTGAATATATTGTATGATTGAATTATTATATATTGTAATTGTAAATTCGAATTAATTCTCATTTGCATGGCCACTTTAGGTTGATTAGAAGTCAGTTTAGTCGTTTAGTTTAACATAATATATATTGATGTAGTAGTAAAATTTAGGTTTCTTTTCTTTTTCTTTCATTGTCATGTTCATGCACTGCGATGTAATCAATCTTCAAACGAACCGACTTGTTTCCGAGAAAAATGGATTTGTCCATCAAATTGGTTTTTCTTTACTTTGTATATATTGAACTAAATAGTTTCTTTTTTTTCGCTATCGATGATATCAGCAAAATAAATCTGATCTAAATTTAATAAAAAAAAATTACTTTCGTTCGACTAATGCGATGTTGTTATCACTTTTTTTTTCATATTTATGACGCACGAAAGACCATCGATGTACTTTTTATTTAAATTCCAACGAAAAACCAAAATAACGAACAACTCCGAATTGCTTTGGCAATTTTGTTTTCTTTCTTTCTCACAGTGAATGTCATGCAAATCACATTTTGATAAGAGTGAATGTGCCACACCAGCACACATTTTTTTAATGGATTTTTTCATAAATTCTTAGAAAGAAAAGAGAGTCATCTTTTCAGATTACATACATTATAGAATATGTTCGCTTTCATTGAATAATCAAATAAACATCATAAATTTTATCCAAAAATAAACGTCCGTCTTTTTCTTATTGATTGAGTTTGAATCGCTGATATTGAGACATATTTTTCCGGAGTGCATTTAACTGTGTTGTGATAAATTCACACTTTCGGTGTTACGATAGGGCTATACATAATTCATTGAGTGCTTCAAAACGCCGCCAGTTATGCAATTCAATGATTTTTATCTTTGACCAAAGTTTTGAGGCTTCAAATAACGCATTGTCTTTTGCGAAATTTGATGCATTTTTGAAGAATAAAAAGAGATTTTTTTGTGCAGAAACGATTTTAATGAATAAACTTTCGGTAATAGATGACATCTTCTACCAACACACAGAGCGATCTATACGTGAGAGAACTCACTCGCCAATTTAAACTGTTCCATACGGATGGTGAAAACGTCAAACACATTTCTTTTTTTTTGTTGCTGATTCGACTGAACCTGACACGAACTGTGGAATGTGTAACCGATATCGCACCAGTTCTTATAATAACAATAATTTCATCTGTCACGACTGCAGAGTTGTAAAAGTGCAATTACAAAATTTGTAAGGTTTCGTGGAAGCCGTTGATAAAACGACTAAAAAAACATACAAAAAATATACGGATTTTGATGAAAATTGTCACAGACATATTTTAGGAGATAAATTTTAATATCCACCAAGTTTCAAGTCGATGCGACCTTCCAGAGCTGAGGAATTGCCGATGGAAAAAATGTAATTAAAAAAAAGCAATCATTGCGTGTAATCATTACTTTTTTTTAATTACATTTTTTCCATCGGCAATTCCTCAGCTCTGGAAGGTCGCATCGACTTGAAACTTGGTGGATATTAAAATTTATCTCCTAAAATATGTCTGTGTCAATTTTCATCAAAATCCGTATATTTTTTGTATGTTTTTTTAGTCGTTTTATCAACGGCTTCCACGAAACCTTACAAATGCGCATGTAATTAAAATGGCAAAATTTACAACACTGCACGACTGAAACACTCGTATACTTTATTGTGATTTTGATAAGTGGTTCACTGCAAATCAGTAATTGAACGATTGCGGGTGGATTTATATTGTTCCAATCGTTTTTTCTTTCTTCAATCCAGTCAAAACAACGAACAATCCAGTCAAAACAACGAATTGTCATTCATCCTTGAGTGAGATGACAGATCAATTAGCTGAGAAATTCGAAAAAGACGTGGTTTTGAACCAACCGGAATTTGAATACCTGCAGAAATGGTTAAACAATCGACAATTTGAAGGGTGTCGCACTGGCCGAGGTTTTCTAACCCTTGATGAATATTGCAAATTGATTGATTTTTATCAAAATTGGCGACGTGATTCGGATGAAGCCATTCTACGGTACATTGCCGTATCGTTTACTGGTCGAGCGTTGACATGGTGGTCAAATAATGTTAATAAGGTGACAAGCCTCAAGCAACTTGAAAAACAGCTTCGGCTTCGATTCGGTCACTAGACAGAATTAAGAGCGAAAATAAATTTGTTCAAACGACAACAGCGAGTTGATGAGCCCCTGCTCGACTACATTGATGAAACGGTATATTTTGCACAACGAATTGAATCCAACAAGTCTGACATGACTGAGAATTGGCTGATTGGGATAATCCTGGCCACCGTTCATGACAAGTATCGCGACCATTTTCTTAAATCAGGATTAGAGTTTAATAGGCTAAAAGAACTCACCAGATACGCTGCATGCTTAGTTCGAATGCTTAGCTCCGAGAATGACAATCAGAATCATTAGTAACAAATCGAGCAAAATGCATGCAAAAGAATAAAGTCAAATTCATAGAATGATTTGCACGGAACTAAACTTATATAAATCATGATAGGAATCGCTTCGATTTAAGTGAAGTTGTATTCTTTTAGTCAATAAAAATGTTTGGTTTTAAATCGAAAAGAAGAATTGTTGGAAATATTATTTCAATTTCAGATATTGCAGAAAACTTGAGAAGTTAGCTCGTGCGAAAGATGTGAGTATATCGGAAAAACCAATCAATTTGAAAAAAAGCTCATGAATATTTTTATCGTATCGTGTAACGTTATACGCTGAACTGGACCAATAGCAACGCCAATCGATAACAACACAGAGCTAATTTTGCAAATGATTTTTTAATCAACTGAACGCAAACATTTTTCCCATAGGTGTAACGAATAAATAATAAGTTATAAAAGATTTTATTACTTATTCATTTTATGTGATTATTCATTTATTCGTTATTCGTTCTTACTCGCGAATAAGAACGAATAATTATTCATTTATTCATGCAAGAAACGAAAAGAAATGTAATAAAAATTGAATAATATATGAAACGAATAAGAAGTGAATAAGAAACGAATAAGAAAACGAATGAAAATTGAAAAAGAAGTTGTAAGAAGTAATAACTATTACAACTTATTCACGAATAAATGAATAATTATTCGTTCTTATTCGCGAATAAGAACGAATAACGAATAAATGAATAAATATGACAAAAGTAATAAGTGAATAAAAAAACGAATAATTATTACAAAAATTAACACCTATGATTTTTCCAATGGTTATCGGTTCATTGCAATTGTTCAAATGAATACTGTTGTTGGTGGTTTGTGATTTTTGCTTTCGTAATATTTGATGAATTGACGAAAAAATAATTTATTTATAACGAGAATGTAATTTAAATTAACTGAAATATTTTCAATGGCTTGAGCCATTTAATGCAAAAAATGCGACGGTTTTGACACTTTCATCAGAATGATTAGCTTCCATTGAAACCAACGATCCCGAATTAGTTTATCTTCAGAAGTGGCTTAACAATCAACAATTCGAAGGCTGTCAAGCTGTTCCCAATCATATGCAACTGGATGAATATTGCGCTTTAATTTAATTTATCTAAGAAGAGACGACAAAATATGGCTCATGATAAATTTAATGCGACGAGGTCAGAATTTGTATTTATATATTTGAAAGTTCAAGTTGCTCAAAACGATTTCAACAAGGTATGCAACTTCTTAAGACCAGTTTCTACGGTGATTTTAGACCAAACTGAGGATAATCGAAATCAAAGATATGCTAAAATGTAAAAAATGTTTTGAATGGTTTGAATGGTGTAGCAACACTGAAAACGCATACACGCGCAAGGTGGTCCCAGATGAATACTTCACTTTTTGAACATAATTTTAATTGATGACTATGTAGCGGACACAGTCATTGTATTAAATCGACGATGGAACTGTCATATATATTGAACAATTGCTTACAGAAAATATCACTTGGCTATAACCATAAAAATCCAGTTTAATAAAGTAGGCAGGTTACAAAGAAACTAGGATATATAATCAGGAATAAAATTGAATGTTGTAGTTTGATTTGCTGGATTTAATTTTAAACGATAAGCATTAACATTAAAATATCATCGTATTGGAAATTCTAATCTGTAAGCAGTTTCATGATTAAATTTACAACAAATTCTTTAGATTACGCATAATCGATTGTGATTTCGGCTTGTTGACTTGATTGGCTAGAAAGTCGAAAGTTGGATTTTCATGTAATTTATTTGAACTGGAGTTCTACGTTTTTTGCTGTCAAAACTTGTCTAAAATCAACATTTCGCCGTCGTTTGATTGGACTTCAATTTACTATTCTAGGTCAAAATCGCCCTTTGGTTATGTTAAACATGAATGGAATTGAACCGGAGTTCATATACCTCCAGAAGTGGCTGAACTATCGACAATTCAATGGACTTGCGAATGACGATAAATATTTGTCTCCAGATGAATATTGGAAATTGATTTGTTTGTATACGTGGATCTTCCGATGGGATAATTCTCCGAAACATCGTTCCAACACTCACCGGTCCTGCGCTCAATTTGTATTTTCCAAATATGAATGTGATTACACGTCTCGCTGATCTTGAGCTTTTGTTTCGTCAACAACTTGGAACGGAGATCAATGAAGAAGTGCATTCAATGTTATCAACATTTAAACACTGATTTCAACGTAACCGAACTGTCCGATTTTGAGTTATTTATTATTATAATAGTAATTATTGATATCGATCGATTCGGTTTTTTTAAATCAATAGAAAAATAGTTGATTTCGTCTCTGAATTTTATTTGGAAAAGTTGATTTTTTGAAATATTTTATTGTGCATACATCGCCAGTTGATCGGTAGACATTTCCGCTAACACCAATTATATGGCTTTTAAGCCCGTCTTCTCCTCGATCCATCCTGTAAACTCTGAAACTCTCAAACATGTGTTTTAAGATTGCTGAGCATCTCAGCATTTCGTAAGGCATGGATATATCCGAGCCTATCGACGACGCATACTGTATAATACAGTGGCGTGTGTTGCTACGTGCAGCCGCAACGACTCGACCGAAGTGTGTTCAGTTGATGTGGCTGCACGCAGCAACAACATACACATTCCGGTCGAGTCGTTGCGGCTGCGCGTAGCAACGCACGCCACTGTATGCGTCGTCGATATGCTCGCATATATCCGTGCCTTACGAAATGCTGAGATGCTCAGCAATCTTAAAACACATGTTTGGAAACTCTTGTAAATTGATCCAGTCTGTTTAACATTAGTAACACCCCATGACAAAATGCCGACAATCTTATTATCAATGACTAGGGCTCCACCACTATCACCTTTAAATGCACCTGCACCATACCCGATAAGCGTACAAAGAGTTCAGTTCTCATTCTTGGTGTGATTTCAAACTTGTTCGATTGCCATGAAGCAGCGGAAAGCGGACTAGCCAACAGTACCAATGCTAATAGGGTCGTGAACATTTTTAAACCAATCCAGAGCGCAAGTGCAAGTATACGAAGATTTTAGACACCAATTGCTAACTAACCGATGTTAACCATAATGAAAACAATTTATTTCATTTTCAGCAAGATGTGCCTATCTCAAACAATTGCGGAGTCATATCAGTTTCATGAAAATAAGAATGACAAAATGATCGATCGATTCAAATTGAATATAGCCGTTGATTGTAGCTGGCGACAATAAGCGACAATTTATCATACACACACGTTACTTAACAACAGCGATGGTGTTTTAAATCAGGTAGTGAAACCTTTCAATTGTTTCGGTGGAAGTGGCTACATATTTTTAGGCTGTTTTGCTAAATGAGTTTTGGATTCTAAAAACAAAAACAATGATAAATAATATAGGATAAGATAATTACCACGTTTATTAGTCTATTTGTCAATTGTTCAAAGCTCCACATTTTGATTCTTTTTCTCTTAAATTCAATTCCGTTTTTCATGTTGAAAACTGTGTGCGTGCTGAAAAAAGTTTATTATTTGGAAGCTTCGAAAAGAACTCATATTTTCCAACTTCAACTGTCAAACAATTGAACTTTTTCCTTTTTTTCGTTTCATTTTTCTTCTCAAAATATGAATTTATGTCAACTGTTTCGATGTTTTCCAGATTTTTCGTCTTCCTCCATCCTAGCAACGGCCAACAACTCTTCCAAATCTGTGTATGTTTGGAGTTTTTTCGTAAAATATTTCTCTGTATCCATATACCGATATGCAAATACCTAAAAATAGAAATAAGAACGATTAGTAGAATAATTTCAGTAGGCTCAACGCCGTGAATTGTGGTACGTCAGTGATTTTGCGATAATTTTCGTCGTAAATTAAATTCCGTTTCACTGGATATTTCTTGGGTAGTTCAAAATAAGGACCAAGAATGGGTTCAGTCAGAGCACAACCGAAGATGAATGAACACATTTCCAAAGCTGAATCAGTCGTAAACTGCAACACTGAATATTATTTGTTATCGTTATAAATAGTCGAAGAAAAAAAAAAGAAAATTAGTCGAAAATAAGAGAATGGCGATTTCCACTGCTTCTGCTGTTGCTGACAAACTAGACCTATCGAACTAAAGGAATGTTCCGAAAATAAACGTTCAATAAGGATAAATAAAAGGAAAGCAAGTTTGGGTTTTCCCACACATATACATACATTTATTACAAGCCTCAAAAATGACAAACAGCGACATATAAACCACAACGATTTTTCATAACAGGAAAGAGTAATAGGGTGTTTCAACAGCAAAATTCTCTTCCCTACAAACTTTGTTTGTGCAATAGTAAAATAGATTATTTAAACCTTTGACAACATAAAATTCTTACAGTAGACAATAAATACATACTGATTCTATTCAATTTGATAGGATGGGTAACACATAATAGGTAATATACTTTAATTCATAGAAAATAGTCTTAGAATAAGTCATGTACGAGCCATTGTATCGATAAAATCGAAATTGAACTTGGTTATTCTCTTATTCTGAAACAAAAACACTTTTTATCTAAATAAGAAAAGGTTTAAATGTTTTTCATCTAATCAATTTGGAAAATCGCCACAAAAAACGTAAAAATCGACTAGACGAATAGGTAGAAACAGCCAATAAAAAAATAAGAAAATTCAATTTCGAACTTCTTGCCTCACCCGAGTAAACTCGATTCCTGTCTATTCCTTTTTACTTAACATATTATACATTTAAAATTGCAAATTTCAACATAGATAATTTCAACATTTATGCATAAAGACATCGACACAACCTGTGCTCATGAAACCTACCCTCTTTTATACTTCTACCATGACATACAACTATAAGAAAAGAGTTTTACTAATATCGTAAATTATGGAACGATAAACTTTCAACGAAAATCGATACAATGAATACAAAGAGTTGTGTTTAATAAAAGGAATCCACACGCAAACCCTATCGATGCATAATTTTTTTTTTCTTTGGATTACACAAATGAGATTATAGCTTATTATAGCTTCACAAATAAAAAACAACATTTAAAAACTGTCATATTTGTATGCGGCTTCAACGAACCGATTTGCCATTTGTTTTTCTACCAAAAACATTTACTTTCCCGACAAATAGAACTGGATGAAAATGATGATGTACGTGCAGCAAGCGGCTGCCATTCCAGCCAAAAATTGGCGATCGATTATGAAGAATCCTTTGCCACTAATCGATATATCCAAGTTGTTGATTTGAGACAAGAGCTCCTGCTTTGCAAAGTGCAGCTTCTCATTGTCGCCGGCCCAGAAAGTGAGCTTCTCGATGTTTTTGATCAATTCTGTTTTCTGGGAGGAGTAAATAATAATTCCGTTCAGTTTTTTTTATGCATATATACTTTGATTTGTGTTGATTTTAGTTGAATTCAACGATTATTAATGCTTTTAATTTAATTCAATTTCAGTCGCTATTCAAACGGAATACCTGAATGGTGCAGTAATGGCAGGCATTGATCAAAATCGTTGTGGAAACCACGGCGCTCAAGAAATTGCAGATTGGACCTGTCAAAGAAAAATGTCATGTAATATCGAACGCAACGACATTTTGTCCCAGAAGCAACGTTCTTCATACACTTTCAAATCAAAATCTGTTGAAAACAGTCAATTTAATACTAAAGATTGTTAAGAAAAAAAGCAATGGAAAAATATACTTATAGTTTTTGGGAGCTATATAGTATAATCTTTGTCCCAGTAATGAAACATAAAGTAAATCGAATAACAGACATCAAAAAAATGCTTGTCCGCTGAATACAGTAACGCTGGTTCATTTCATTCGCGGTCATCCACAGTTTGTGGTGGATTTCTTTGTAGAATTTTAAATTGTCGTATATATTGTTAATATTCGGAAATACTAAATTCGACCGATTCAAGTGATATGCAAAATTCACACATTTCCCTAACATTTCGTAGGTGAATTGAAAGAGACCGATTATGAAGATAGTATGCAGCTCAATATACAAATAGAGTAGTTTTAGGCCAAGAATTGATATTCGAAAGCGACTCGTTGTGGTTCCCGTTGTGGAAATGGATTTCATTAGGCCATAATCAACGCAAATCGATAGGACCATTGTCATAAAAAAAATGAATGCAGAAAAGTTTGAAAATTTATTTAATTCAATCCGAAATCCATTGAAGTTATCAAAGTGTAGAAAATAGGGCGAAATGGCAATCAAAACAGATAAAATATTCATTACGATGGTTGTTTCGTGTGCCACATGCAAATTTATTGTACTGCAATGGCTCAATGGTAAAATGCACAAAATGGACGTTAGATTGAACAGTGTGAAGAGAAAAATGTGCTTTTTCAAGAACAATGACAATCGAATCATATTCCGGTCCATCGATGACCAGTAGAAAACTGGAAATATTGTTTTATAGTATTTTATCACATCGTCGAATTCGATGGTTTTCTGTCTTTTAAGCGTCATTTTTCTTGGAAAATGTGATGATTTCTGTTTTTTTTTCTATTTATTCGCGACGAAAGTTGAAGTGAAAAATTTTGAACACCAACTCTTATCCCTTAAAAGCCCTTGAACTCATTCACAACACGCTCCGAAAAAGAATTTCAATTCGAACATTCTAAACGACACTAAACCTTTTAATTTGAAAGCCAATTACTTTCAATAGAATAAAATGATTTTCATGGAGAAAAAAATTGTTGCTGCTCGGAAATTAAATTAATTAGTAAAGATAAAATCTAAAGATGCTAATTTCTTTGTACAAAAAGCAGCCCATCGTGGTCGATTGTCGAAAAAATATGATATAATCAAAACATTTTAGTTGAACAAAACAAAAGCAAAGAAACCAATCATGCAATTACGTAGCACATTGTAGACGCTGGAACAATCCATTAGCAGAAGTTTATTAGTTTGATCAATAAAATCAACAAATTCTTGTATAAATATCCCCACAAAAACCCAAACAAAAATTTCATTTAATAATCTAGATATTTCGTACAATTTGAAATGAATCACTTTCAGAAAGAGGAGATCAAATTTTAGGTCGTATGTTGATTTTGGTTTGATTGTTGACGCCTTCTGGTGGACATAATCAACGAAAATGTCGATGGAACTCTTGAATAACACCATGTAGAAATGAATATGGCACATAGTAACGCAGTTCATCAGTGCTACTGCGGACACACAAAAGTTGACGAAAAATTCCGAATCATTTGATTCGTGGCTAATTAAACCAATAAAGGTGAATGTGATCAACCAAGTGTACATATTTACGGGCAATAACATATTATTAACTATACTTAATAACATAATAATAACGGCGGTATATTTGGTCCAATATAACATAATAATAACGGCCGATATGTTATTAACATTTCTTCAAAAGTTTCATACAAAAATCATGTCAAATTTTGCCTGACACATTTTTTTCAACATTTTTTCGTCTGAAAAAAATTGACATGTTTTTCACATGAAACTTTTTTTTGCGATTTTTTTGGTCGTTATTAAGATAATATGTTATTATTATGTCAAATCTTAATAACGTTATTAAGATAAAAAAAATCCCAACATAACATAATAATAAATATGTCGGGCAATAACATATTAATAACATATCGAAAATGTAAATCTACATAATAATTAGTAATACATGATAATTCCGTTTCAAAGAGTCATTTTAATTTCATTGCAACAGTGCAAAAAATTTATGTGTGTACTCCGCAGAGAAAAAACAACTTGTCAGTGCTCCGGCGAAAAAAATGCGCGAAAAAAGCGTTATTAAGATTGTATCTTAATAATATGTTATTAATTGAGTTAATAAATCCATCTTAATAATATGTTATTATTATAGTTAATAAAATGTTATTACCGCCGAATCTTAGGATTTATTAAGATAACACCCGATATAACGCATAACATATTATGTTATTATTATGCTGAATCTTAATAACGTTATTATTATGTTATGTTGGACCAATATATCGGCCGTTATTATTATGTTATTAAGTATAGTTAATAATATGTTATTGCCTGTAAATCTGTATGTAAATCTGTAACCAAGTGCAAATGATTGCAACCGCCTCTTGGAGGAATTGATATTAAAAATCACGACAATTTCATTTGTATTTGGATTTAGTCATGCTCCCGATTTCTCTAAATTGACGAAACAATCGGGGCAAAATCCTTTCCAAAGTTAGAATTTGACTGAGTCCAACGAATTGGAGAACTTTCCGAACTCGAATTGGAGAACAAATGTTCGGCCAATTACAACTTATGCATAACTATAACTGATAGGAAATCAACACAATAATCGGTATGAACAGCTCATTGCCCAATCAGCCAGAACAATTGGATTATTCATTCACAGATAGTTTTGATCAACCAATCGATCAGTTAAATGTACTCAAACGTAATAAATTTCATTACAGCAGTTACCAAAACATTATTATATATTTGTCGGATCTAAATGGATAAAATCCATCTATTGCGACACACGCACAAATATTTAGGTAGTGTTTTAATTATCAAAAATATTCATATTTTTGGACATCCTGATGACTGATTTTTGATTTGAATCAATTCAATTATTTCTGATTACAATTGACTATGGCACTAGCATTAAGTTTTACCAAAACTAACATGGTACGTCCCTCTATACACATCCCACGTGAAATTGTACGGTGACTAGATTTTATTCATCTAATCATTTTTCTTCATTGAAGAATCTTCATACAATTTTTAGTGACTACTGATTGCAACAGTTACCTATTTTGTAAATATGTACGAAAATCCGAATAAAATATTACAAAATGGACTACTAATTATTAGTCACTTTTTTTACATTATACCAAACAGAAAAATGAACGATGATTTCGATGAAAAAAATGAAAGGTCGATTAAAATTGACTTACGCAGAACTGAGAATGATCCATCGGTCTCCTTAACGACATACAGAACAGTCACAATGACTGTACGTACTACACCAACAACGGTTTCGACCAGCATTGCCAATAAAAAACATCCAAAGCGTTGGTTGATTTTTTCCGCAATTCGCCAAACTTTTAAATAAATGATTTTTATGTGGTTCAAATTACGCACCACATCATCCTCTTCCCTACTAACGATCAAACAGTCATTTGCACTATCACTTGAAATTGGATTCAATTTTCGATTCAGTGAAGCCAAAATCAAACACTGGGAATCGATGAAGAAAGTGGCGTGAATGGTTGTCATATACTTGTATATTGAAGCGATTAGCAGCGCAATGGATGGAGAATATGATGCATAGCACGTTGGCAATGCAATTTTTATGCTAATCTCAAGTAAGTAGACAGCTAAACCAAAAAATAATTTTCAATGGAAGCGCCGAACAAACTGTTTGATGTTGACGTTAGCACTCATTGCTGTTTCGAAGTAATTAAGCGAATCATCGAGATCACTGAGGATGGAATCTAAAGTTTTGGCAAACAACAAACTCTCAATGATCCCAACGAAATGTGGAATTAAAACCGTTAAGGATAAAATGTTAAATATGTTATATGAATTGAGTGCTTGATTATGTCTGAGTGCTTCAATAGCTGAGACTATCATTGAGATCAAATAAAATCCTCTAAAAATGGCATAGAGGATAACAGTTAACCGTGATCTTGAACTGAAGATTGAAGTATACCGACTTTGACCAAAAATGAAAAACCAAATGAAAACGCTTCGAATCGACTTTAAATTGAACATTTTTATTTGCTACAACACGAAGTTTGTGCTTGTTTATAGAGCGAATCACAAAATCTAAATGTTTGATGATTGAAGATGTGTATGTGGTATTTCATGTTGGATAATGATTTACTAATGACCGATAATAAAGTCATGAAAAATGACTGTATCTGAATGAATTTTCCATCGATAAAAAAATAATCACAAAATCGAATTTAATTATGGCCTAAAATGAATCAACATTAATTTAACGTTGCCTAGTTCGATCAAATTGATCAATTCGTTTATTAATTTATCAAACTCAAAATAAAGATATATTTACGTATGGTATCGAGGCCAACACCTAATGGTGACGCTGAATGAACGGATATCCGGTATAAGGAGTATGTCACACTTAATACTGTTTCACACAAGAATGCCATTAAAAACCACCCGAAAATAGACTTAACTCGTTGCGACACGTGCCAAAGCTTGAAATAAATCATTTTTGTTCGACGCATCACATGCAATCTGTCCTTGATGTTTGACTCGTTTTGAAATGGATCCGAATCTATTTCTTTGTTCATTATTACAATTTTTTTGCTCAAAGTTTCAAACGCTAATTTAATAAAGTCGATATGAAACGTTACATGTGATATGTGAATGCACTTGAAAATGACAGCAATCGATGCATAACTACTGGCGATCCAATCAAAAGCGGCAATATTATTTATTGATAGACAAGTTTTAATGATTTGTCCACCGAATATTACAATAAGTTGGGATAAACAATTTTGTCGAACGCTTTTCCGAAGTCTATCCACTGGATATTGCATTTGTAAGGATCGTTCAATG